TAATTAGAAAGAAAGACACATAACAAATGATGACGTTAATAAAATAATAAAACTAATGATGAATAGTTATCGTACTGAATTGTAACACATGATTCTTGAATGAAATAGGAATTATGGACTATAGTGTAAAGATCTACCCAACTTGCACAACTCTACATCAGTCTTGGTATGCATTAACTTCTTGTAGATTTGTTGGTGTAGGTTTATTCTATACAAATATAAGTCTAGCATAATTGTTCTTACTTTGTATTTGTATAGTGTTAAGATCGCTCATATTTAACTTTATAAATATTGTAAATACAAATATCAAATTCATATTATTCAATTATTTTTAACTCCAAGTGTAAATCTTTATAAGGTATTCCAACGCCACTCAAGGAGGAAAATTATTGAGCCTCCTGTTTGGTAAGGATTGAAATTCAGATTTTAATTAAAATCAAAACGAACAATTAATTTTAAACACATATTTCATTAGTCCCACAACTTTTCAATCACACGTTTCATCATTTTTTATCAAAATCTACTAAAAAATTGATTTTAATCCCCATCAAACTGGGGTTGATTGTATCTTTGCAACCTATAGATAGCACAACCGCCGCTACTCTCCCCGACACCACATGCTCTTAAATTTCTGGCCACATGGCCTTATCCCTTAAACCAAACTATATTTTATGTATTCTCCTCCATCGTATCTATAAATATTTCTTAAAATATTTTTTTTTCTCTTGTAATTTTCCGTCTCCAATCTCACATGTGCGTATATTTCTTTTATTTTTCTTCTAATTGCAACTTCTCTCACGTATGCACCATGCCTTGTGTCGATTTTTCCTTCAAAGACGGAGTTCACTGTACCATCTATTGGCTCCTTTACCAAGGTGATGTGGAAGGCTTGCCTTAGGTCCATTAGAGTTTCGTAGGTGTTAGGACTTATTGTTGAGGTTCGAACATTTGATCTATGATGTGCTTCCAAAATTGGCTTAAAATCATGTTTTTGCTGGACCCCTTTTTCTTAATTGTGCACTTATTATGAGATGGTGACACGTGGGTTATTTCAGGCCCTTGGATTATTGCCTTGATGGTGTG